CTGACTCTGGGGACTCCCTTCATCTACCCAACCTTGTGGGGGAAGTGCTGCAGACAGACAGGCCACCAGCACCAGGGACTGGACCATAGCATATCCCTAGCCCCAAACAGTTTTGGATGAAGGGAAGGTGAGAGAGGGCTTCTATTCTACCTCCAGTGCCCAAGCCTCCAGCCCACCCGGCCCCATATGAGAGGTGCTGCACCCCAAACTAGCATCATGCCAACTCTGACAGATGGATGTACACAACTCAAGGGGGTTTAAAATTGGGCACGATGGCTCCTCCAGCAGCCGTCTTACCTGACGCCTCACTTTCTCCAAGCCAGATCCCATCAAATGACCTGTTCCCCACCCTCAGCCTGAGGAAGTGCCCTCCCCTCTGTTCCTTCTGCAGCCTGGTGGGAGGGGGAGAGAGAGTGAAGAGGTCTTTGGCTTGGCTGGAGGGGTTGTTGCTAAGGGTAGAGTGACCAGAACAGGAGTCTCCAGGCCCCTCTCCTTCCCAGACCATCACTGACAAGGGTCTGCCTCCCTAGCTGTAACTTTTCTCCTGAAGTTGACCCCACATTTGCCTGTTGGGAATGACTAGTGGGATGTCCAGGGGCTGGGCCCAGGGACCCCCAGGCCCCAGGATGGTGAAGGTGCTCGTTTTGACACTGACATGCCTCCACACCCTTCCTGCCTCACTGCAACTCCTGGGCCCTCTGGCCTCTAGCCTAGAAAGGTATTCATTTGTAAATGATCACGGATTTCTGCATTAAAATGACCATTTCTGGAATTGCTCTTGGAGCAGGATCGGGTGGACTCATTTGACTATGTATGGGGGTAGGGTGGGCAGGGAGTGATCTCCCACAGTGGGGTGTGCTGCTCCCCCTGCTGTGGGATAATGCATTGAACCAACCTCAAGGTTGGCAGGTCAAACTCATAAGCAGCTCCTCAGAAACCCTACACAGGGCGCTATGGGTCAGAACCGACTGGAGAGCACTTAACAACAGGCAGTGCTGGTGTTTTCAAACCTTCTCTGCCCTGGACCATGTGCTCAGAGAACCTGGGAGAGTACTACACCTTCCAAAGTCATGAACCACTGAAATCTCAACTTGAGATGAAATGCTCAGGACTTTTTTGGTCATCTCGTCCTCCTGACCACTGGCTGCAGGTAGGGAAAGGGGTTGAGGGGGCTGCTCTGCCTGGCAACAGGCAAGGGAAGTTTCTGGAACCAGCCAGAGGGAGGGGAGAGCCAGAAGTATTGGTGGGAAGGGATGTCCCTCTCAGCAGCTCTGGGCGTGTGACAGCTATACCTCCAGAGCTGGCTGCCAGCAAACCTCAGAATGTGCCCAACACTCTGAGTAGAGCAAAGGTAGCAGCCATACCGCCTGCCAAGAGAGTGGCTACTGGGCTTTGCCAGTAAAGTGCAGGTGCCATGGCAACCACTGCAACTGGGCCTTCTTAAAGGTCACAGGGATCCGGTGTGGCTGAGTTCCATGGGCAGCAGTAACCAAACCTGTAAGGGCACCACAGGACAGTAGAGGGAGGAATGGTGTCAGGAGTGGGCAGGTAGGGCCATTCAGGGTGGTCATAGCCATGGCCTTCCTGTGGAGGAAACAGCAGTGTTGCCCTCCTTGTTCCTCTCAGCTCTACCTCTAAAGCTCAGGGGCAGAAGTAACTAGTGTCAGCTCCGCTTACAGCCTCATGGGAGCTAGGGTTGCAGCTGTGAGCAGAGAAGGTGGTGGCAGGGCCCTGCCCTGGGTATTGTCCTGTGTTCCCAGGGGTCACCAGAAGCCATCCCTCTGCCTTCTTTGAGGAGACATTCTCGTTCTTCAATCCTCTGGAGAAGTGGTGGTAAAGAGGGTTCAGGTATACCACCTTCCCCACAGTCTTGGAGTACCTACCTCCTTCAGTGCCCTCCAGACTAGCCTACAACTTGCCTGTTCATCCATCTCAGGCCTTGAGTCACCTCAATGCTGACGTCAGGGTTAGAGAGTTCAATTCAGTTTGAGGCTCCAGCTTAGGCTCTCAGGCTTATCTTCCTGGGAATCGGACTCTTAGCCCAGGAGACGACAAAGACAAAGAGCAAGATGACCAGGACACACTATTCCTGGCCTCTGCAATTCATCTGAGACTACAGAGGACCTGGGGATGGGTTATAAAGGTGAGGTGCAGAGGGAGAGGCCAAGGACCTTGCCTGGACTTGGCCAGAAACCCAGTGAGGGGATGGTAGTTGAGACATGCAACTCTTCCATGTGCCACTAGAGGGTGCTACAGGTAGCTACGCTCTTCTCCATGGCCTGCATCTTCCCCAGAAAGGACCAGGCCAACTGGGCTCCACTGCTTGCTCCAGCCTAAAGATGGCTGGGAGACACAGGGTAGAGAGGGCAAAGGAGATGAGCCACATGTTCTGGGCTGGAAAAACCAAGCCACCGTATCCAGCAGCCGTTACCTCCCTAGATAAGAAGGAATTAAATTCTTGGGCAGTTTTCAAACCTATAAGGTTTGTGGCTTTAGACTCAACCACACCTTTACCCTTTTCAGCCACCACCCTCTCCAATTTAGCAATTTCTTTTCCAGTATGCAGGAGCGTTTGCTTGAATACTGCTAGTGTTGAGAAGTTTGCTACCACTTTTAAACATCTTCGTGTTTAACAAGAAAACTTGTTCTCTAAGCCAGAATATTGGCCATGGAGAATTTCATCTAAGAGCCCACATTATACCTCAGGAATAACATAGAACTTATTCCTGGCAGCTTTAGAGAAAGCAGTTTTGTCCCTGTGCTATGTCCCAGGCTCTTCTAAACATTGCTGGTTCTTTTGACCACTTCTCTAAGGGAGTATCCAGCAGAGTCTTCTAGTTTGACCACGAGTCTTTTCCAGTGAAGAGACTCGTCCCAGATCAATACACCTAGGACCAGGCCTGTGGGGTGTCCATTACCTCCCATGTTGTGGACACATGCCTCTGCTAGTCCTTCCCAAGACTGGATCCTTCCTGTTAAAAAGTCCAGTCATTCACAAGAAGCACCATTCAGCTCCGCTGCTCCCAGTCCATACTAATGTGATATGTTTAAAACATATGGTCAGAGCATTTGAGACCCTTGTTGGCAGTATTTGGGGGTGGGATAAAAGGGTTCACATAAGTGGATGGGCTTGGGTGGGGTGTGCCTGGGAGTCTTTTTTTCTGGGCTGAAGGTCCATAGGTTTCATTACAGTCTCAAAGGGCTGCTTCTCTAAAAAGAGCCTTGAATAAGACTTGCTTTCAGACCAGAACATTGAGGCCCAGAGGGGAGACTTGATTCTTCCAGGCCAGGAGGCTAGTTTGGGCAAGAGCTCAGGCTTCTGGACTCCTATTATAATGCTCTTACCACTGCCCTTTCAAGGCAGTGGCATTGTCATTTGCCAGCAGCTTGGCCTCCTAGATGGGCTCTTCCTAGGCCCCTCTTGTAACTCCAGTATGCTGCCACCAGGGGGCAGTGGTGCCTGGGTTGGTGGCACATTTAGGAATTCTGGTTTAGGCCAGCCTTTCCCTGCTCCCTGGTGCAAGGGTCAGATTCTAAAATGGTCTGTCTTTATTATGCCAAGAGAACACACACACACACACACACAAAAAAAACCCTCTACCCACTCCCCCCACCTTCCCAGTGTAAACAGGAGAAATGTGCTGGTTAAGTTACTCATCATTATCTTATTATTAACAAAATAAAGCACTATCTATGTTTACAGTCATAAAAAAAAAGACAGCCTGGAGAGAAGTAGGGGCTTGGACAGGAGTTGCTGGGGGCAAGAGGGAGGGGAGAAGATGGGATGCAGGCACATCTGTTCCTGTAGCATGTGGGCCTCCCTTTCTACCCTTCCCAGATAGCGTTCTGGGATTTGGAGTCAGGCTCTAGTAGGACTCGACTTTCTCAGGGAGATGACTGGTAGAGCTTACTCTTCTGAGCAGACAGTGTGGAGTGAGAGGAGGGGGCAAGAGAGAAGGCAGAGGGGCAGCAGTGGTGGTAGTGGGTACAAGGGAGGATGCCTGAGTCCTCTCCTTACCAGCCCCTTCCATCACCAGTTCATAAGGATGGCACAGAGGCCAGCTGCCAGTGGACCCTGCTCTCTTAAGAGCCTCTGTCTTGCCAAGAAGGAGCTTCCTGGGCCTCAGGTTGGGACCAGGGGCTGGGTCACTTTCTGTGTTGCTCAGAGCTAAAAATGGCTCTGTGGGAATGGACTGTCAGAGATGAAGGCAGCCGAGGGGTAGGGACAGACACCCAGAAAGGAGACAGAAACAGAGGGCCTGCAGAGAGGTCAGAGAGAGATGCACACAAAGACACAAAGAACCTGAGACACCCAGACTGACAAAGAGGTAGCAATTTGGGGACACAGAGAAGCACAGAAAGAGGCCCCCAGAGAAGCGAGAATAGCTCAAGAGATACACCCACGAAAACTCAGCAACAGTGCCCAGCACAGAGTGGACACTCAATAAATATTTTGTGCAGTGAATGAACAAATGAACACACACAAGCGCAGGTGCACACACACAGCAGGCACAATGGGCTTGGCAGAAGAAAAAGTCAGTGAGGGGCAGCCAGGCCCTTTTGCATAAAGTACAAAGTGACCCTAGAGATAGAGGAGTGGTATGCAGGGGAAAGTGGGGAGGGAGTCTTGGTCCCATGGTGGCTGGTCCCGCCAAGATAAGAATGGAGACAAAAAAGCATGTGGCCCGAGAAGGACAGATCCATAGCTGCCGAAGGCCCAGGTGGGGAAACCTGCAGAAGAAGATGGTCACACAGTGTCCCCTGGCAGTGGGCCCCAAGGATCAAGGAACTCAGCCAGCTCAGCACATGTCTACCACGCAGGCCCTGCCCACCTAAGCCAACGGCAGGTGTGGTGTGGTGGGGGCATCTCCCTTGTGAATGTATCTACAGGTACACAGCTGTGCCTGTCTCCTGGGCACACCAAGTCCAAGTACCAGCATAGTTCAGGTGGGCTAACTGTGCCCACTGGGTCAGGCAAAGCCTTCCCCAGGAAAGGGGGGCCCAATCCAGGCAGTCGGGTTCAGTCTGTGAGCACCACCAACTCCCCGTCGCTCTTCTCCTCAGCCTCTGAATCTTCATCCTCGCTGTACCGGTACATCTCACCATCAGCCACCGAGTGCCTGTCCTCAGCCCCCTCACCCTCCTCCCTGAGGCTGCAGGTGTTGACGATGACAGGCATGTTGGGGTCCAGGTTCCGCGACACATAGCGCTCCACCAGAGGCTGTGCCAGGCTCATGCCTGCTGCCCGCGGGTACAGGACATCTGCAGAGCTCAGCTGCACCTGGCCGGTCTGCGGGCTGAGGGGCAACGAAGAGCAGTCAGAAACCCACTCTCGTCTCTACTCCACCTCAGCTCCCACCAGGCCTCCTCAGCCCATGGATTACCAGTGCAGTGTGCCTTGTCCCTGGTATGCTTTCTGATGACCAAGTTCACCGTCAGCCACAGACGCACACACACACACAGGTAGTTCTAGCTCCTTGGACTTGTTTACCACTTACCAATGAAAGATCATGTGTAAATCCCACTTTTGGAAATTTCAGCATATTTGAAATGTCCCAGAGAGTTCCTGTTTAAAGGAACCCGCTAGAGTAAATCTTTTGGTCAAGTTATGAATTCTGTGTGATGAATACCTCTGAACATGTTTAATGTGGTCATCAGAAATGGGACCCAGAGGCACGTCTTTCCAGGTACAAGTGGCCAGTCTCTCACAGTCACTCAGTCACATACATCATCTATGAAGTACCCACCACAGTCATGTTCAGTGACCCCTAGAGTCACACATGCAGGCCTAGCCCTGCACTGGGGAAACACACAGATAGGGTCACAGATGTGTACACCCAGCACCCGTGGTGTTGCCTGCAAAGGCGAGCCAGGCACTTACGGGATGACATAGCTCTGGCGGGCGTCCTGGCGCCTGGTCCTCATCAGGGCCTTGTACTCGCCCACCCGCAACCTCTTGCCTTCCACGATGCAGGTGCGCTTGGGCCGTGGCTTGTACTTGTAGTCTGGGTACTTCTCCAAGTGCTGTCGGCTCAGCCTCGCCTGCTCCTCGTAGTAGGGCTGCTTCTCCTGGTTGGTCATGGCCTTCCAGCGGGAGCCTGGCCCAGCCCCAGTACAGGCAGTTAGTGCTGGGCCAGACCGACCACCTCTACCCTGGGTAGGCAGGCCCTGGAGTCACCCAGGAGACTTTGGCCCTTGGGTAGGCAAACAAGGTAATAATACGGGCAAGCACCTCCTTGGATACTGGGCAAATGCATGAATGAAGTCACGTGTGTGAGTCTATGAACACCCAGTTGCCAGGGAAAAGCTCATCAGCCACCTGCCTCCCAGATAGCCCAGAAACTTGAAAGTTGCCTCTGGTTTGCATAAGCAAAAGAGCAGCCACCCCACCCAGGCCTCCCCAAACCCAGACAGGCTCCCTGCTCAGGGCAAAACACCTGGTCTTAGTTGACAAGGGGCCTGCGTTGACACTGAAGAAGTCTCAGTCTGGGAAACCACACTGCCCTCTCTTGTTACATCACTTGCCTGCCCTACATGCCTCCTTGGAGGCCTCCAGTTAGCACAAGTCATTTAGAAAGCCTGGGTGGCTCTGTAGGATAAGCACCACATTGGTAACTGTAAGGCTGGTGGTTCAAATCACCCAGTCGCTCCTTGGAAGCCCCATGCAGGGTTGCTATGAGTAGGATTCAACTTAATGGTACTTAACGCCACCCCTAGAGGAGAGTTGGAATCGGTAGGTTTGGTTTGGGGTTTTCTCCCAACAACCCATGAACACCAGTCTTTCCTGGTGCCAACCAGAGGCAGCTCCAAGGGCCTGGGGCATACACAGAGTGGAAAGGGCTAGGTAGAAGGTGGTCACACAGTCACAACTCTTCTCTTCTTGCTACCAGATGAGCCCTACAATGGTACAAGACCCAGCTATCCCCATACCTCCCCTGACTCCCACTGCCCATCAGATTCCACCCAAGTTCAACAGAGTCCTGCTGGGCTCTGGCCTCTGGAGCCCCACCCACTGGCCCTCACCGAGGATCTTGCTGATGCTGGAGTTGTGCATGTCTGGAAAGGCTTGGAGAATCTTTCGCCGTTCGTCCTTGGCCCACACCATAAAGGCATTCATAGGCCTCTTGATGTGGCTGCTGTTCCGGGACTCGGGGAAGTGGCGGGAGCCTAAGGGGCAGGGGTTGAGTCAGCTGGGTGGCCTGTCTATGGTGACAAGTCTACCCAGTGGGGGAGAACATAGGTGGTCCCTACTTGACCACTAGGAGGCGCTGGGGAGGCTCCCGAGGAGGCAAGCCCAGGACAAGCAAGGCTGGAGCTAGATGTCAACAGGGGCCTAGTCAGGGACCCAAAGACACACGCCAGGGAGCCGACGCTGCAGGGCCCCTTAGGAGAGAGAGAATAGAACCCCTGCAGTCACAAGATGTAGGAAAGCAGATACAGAAACAACTGAAGAGTACAAGACAACAGAGGCACACAAGCCCAGAAAAGACTTTGCAGACACAATAGGGATGAGGGGACTGGAGGCAGACAGGACATGACCCACCCTGGCCCTGGTGTGGAAGCAGCAGTGGGCCGTCCTGCCCGGGGCCCTCACCGTCCATGTCGCAACTCAGCATGGCCTCTTCCAGTGGGTGCACACAGGCCTCCTCCAGCCGCTCCTTGGCTGGGGATGAGTCCAGGCTAATGAGGTCCTGGGGTAGACAGGTGCAACCTGTACTGCGGTCCCTCTGCTTCCCGCCACTGCCCCTTCCTTTTGGTGGCCTCAGACTGAGTTGCCCACCCCTGGCCACCATGTGCCCACTGCTCCCGGGTCGTACTTTACGGAAGGGAGTACTGGGGGAGCTTTCCAAGGCCCCACTGTGGCCATGCAGCAGCTGCCGAGCATCCTGGATGGCTTTGGTGACAGCGTCCCCTTCACCAAGGAAGCCTATGGCAAAGAGGGAGTGAGGACAGGGAGAGCTGAAGCATCCACTAAGCCCAAGTCCAAACCCGGCCCTGCTGTGAGGTCAGACTCCTCCGGGCGCCCCAGGGTGGCTGCACTGTGACTCTCCCAGTGTCTGGCATTAGCACTGTCTCGTGTGCAGGCCAAGAGACTAGGCATGGGAACAGCAGCCCTGAAGCTGTGAAGCCCTGTGGGCGTGATCCCGGATTAACACGGGGAGGGGAGGACAGGGAAAAGCCTTATGAGACACTGAATGGTGGGACGAAAAGGGTCCTAAGAGAGCAGGTCTAACCCCTTGATTTATGAGAGGGAGGAGGGGATATGCCTGAGCTGATGTCATGCCTCTAAGGCTCTCACCTGGGAAGGGCTAAGGCAAAGGTAAGGGTGTCAGAAAGCTTACCTAGAGGCAGGTTTGGGGGACTAGCCTGTAGGTCCCGCGTAGGGGCCCCATGACTCGGGGGTCGGGGTCCACAGTTGCTCATCTTCAGGCTGGGGGAGCTGGAAGTGTTGGACAGCTCAGGGGCCTTGGGCTTGGCTGTGAGGTTCAGGGGCTGGGAGGGCTCCTGGGAGAGACCCAGAAAGTCAGAGGGTGAGACACCAAAGGTGATCCCACAGAGAGGCAGAAAGAAAGACCAGCATGTTCCCAACAGACAAGGCAACAGAAAAAGAGAAGTCAAGGATGCCAAGAGGAATCACCATAAACACCCCAGGCAGCCAGCCATCATTGGGTCAGGAGGGAGCCCCAGGCCTGCTGGGCAGGGGCAGTACCTGCAGGGGGTGGTGGCCAGCCATGGCCCCAGGTCTCTTCACCACCGAGGTAGGGGGGCTGTGCAGCAGCTGTAGCGGATACTCCACTATGGAAAAGGCGGCAAGGAGAAAAGTCCTGGATGAGTACAGAACAGCAGACATCTGCTTGACGAGGTCCCAGCACTACAATGTGGGCAGAGCCTGAGGGTGGACCCAGATTGGCTCCAACCACTGTCCTCCCCAGACCCAAAGTGCTGCTACAGAACTTTCCATTCCCACCCCTCCACCCCCACGACTGGTATATTCACCCAGCCAGTGCCCTCCCCAAATCACTCTAAGGAGTCTCCCAAACACTGGAGCCCAACCAACCCAATAGTTCAACAAGAGTGGGTATGCCATCTTTTCACTCTACCAGGGTTTCAATTTTGTGGCACTGTAGGATAAACACCAGACTGCTCATCACAAGGTCTGTGGTTCAAAGCCACCAGTTGCTCCTTGGAAAAACCCTATACAGTGTCACGGTAAATCAGAACCGACTTGATGGCACTTACTAACAGCATGAGATCCTGGTGTGGCACTGTGGGGTAATGCGCTGGACTGCAAGGTCAGTTTGAACCACAAGCTTGGTGGTTCAAGCTCACCAGCTGCTCCTCAGAAACCCTATACAGGGTTGCTGTGAGTCAGAAGTGATCGACGGCACTTAACGTTTAACTAAAAGTTGAACTCCAGGGGCGGATGCAGTTCCATGTTTGAAGGGTGACTAAGCACCACAGTCTTAGGGTTCCATAAGTGGAAATCTGGTCTTCGTTATAAGTTTGAATTTTGTTCTACATTTTTTTTCTCCCTCTCTTTCCAGGACCTTCCATTGTGCTCCTGATCCAAATAGTTAGTAGTGGTGTCCGGGTGATGGAGACTGTGGTTTCCATGGTCTACCAACTGTTTTCTTGTGTCTTTGATTTTCTTCACTCTTCTTAATTCCAGACAAGGAGAGACGAATGGCTGCATCTTATAGTCATTTGCCAGCTTTAAGACTCCAGTAACTATTCACCTGTGCATTTTCTCACACTAATACATAGCGTGTGACACATAACAGCTCATTTATTCATTGTCCCATTTTACAGATAAAGACACTGAGACCTGGAGATATGAAATGGGTTGCTCACATGGCTAATAAATGGCAACACCAGGATTGGAACCCAGGTCCTCTACACTTCACAGTCCATCCTATCCTTTCTTTTCTTTTCTTTTTTCCTGTTATAAAGTGATTTTATTAAATTGATTTGGACATACTGTAGGTCAAGTAATATTTCCCAAAGGTAACAATTATGGACTTTAAAGCTTGACATAAAATTAGTAGCTTCAAAAGTGTTAGTCATATTCCTCAGCAACAGCATGATAAAATAATTCAACTATGTAGAAATATAGAACTCTAGGACTAGAGTTGGGAACTCAGAGATCATTCAGCCAAATATCCTCATTCTGTACATGAGAAAACTAGACTCAAAAGTTCAGGAATTTGCCCAAGCTCACATACCTAATAGTAATAAAGCTAGAAATCAAACCAAGTTTTCCTAAAACTAAAATTCTATCAATTATATTTCAATGGGCTCTCTATTAACTAAAATCTAGGTTTTTCTCTACTGCTCCATACTATTGGGATATGAAAGAATGACAGACACTACAGTAAATCAGTGTCTCCAAATTCAGGCCTGGAAGGGGCTTTCTTAAATAACTAAACCCGCCCTCTCTCTCTCTACCGAGGAGATGGCTATCAAGTGTCGTACCCAAAACTTTTGAGTAGATGTGCCTGAACCTCCAGACATGGAGCACTTTACCCTGAAGTCCCACCTGGGGATTCTAAATCCACCCACTCACTGGGAGCTCCTTTTGGGGCCCCCTCCATGCACTGAGGTTTTAGTTATGCAAAAACCATCCTATCCTGTCTACACAGCATTTTCTCTCTTCACTCACCTTCAACCCAGCCCAGCTTCAAACAGTTCAGAGTTCAGATGGAAAACAGCCCCAGGCATGGGTCACTAAGCTCACTGCAGGCTGTGCTGTGTGCAGCACACATACTGAGTTGTTGCTGTTGTTAAGTGCCATCAAGCCAGTTCCAACTCATAGCAATCCTGTATAGGGTTTTCTAAGAGCAGCTGGTGGGTCTGCACCACTGATTTTGCAGTTCAAACCAACCTTGCAGTTCAGCGTATTAAATTGCAGCGCCACATCAGGACTCCACTTATTGAGTTAAAGAACTTTATTCCCGTTGGGGGTGTTAGCACGGGCTTCCTAGTGGATTTGAGATGGGAGGTGGCAACCACAGAATAGACAGGGTGAGACAGGCCAAGATGGAATTGCAGGGTGTGAGAGAAAGATAAGAAAGATAGCCAGGTCAGAGCAGAGGGCCTTGAATACCGGCTCGGGAGTTTACAGTCAGCTGTAGGCACTGGGCACCTTATGAGACTCAAGAGCTGATAAGGACCATTATTCAGCTTTAGGGAGACGGGTTTGGCAGTCTAGCGGTCCCCCGCTGATAGGATTCTGCAGCAAACGATGCAGGGGCCAACTTGTGTGTCCTGGCCTCTCTTCTGCAGCGTATTTCCTGCTTACCGGCTCCAGAAAGCACTCTGCGGCTACTCCCTGCCCAGGCCTCCGTCTTCCTCACCTCCACAGTTCTGCTCCATAATCATCTGTACCACTCACTGCCCCATCTTCCCCGATCTACTCCTCATTTCCTAAGCTCCCGCCACCAAAATGGAAACGTGCTTCAACAAAGGGCCTGACCGTTTCACCCCAGCCAGGTGCAGGCCCAGGCTAGTGGTGCTGACCAATGAGTACATTCCCATGACTTATGGGCTCAGGGGTAAACCCAATGGGACTCTCCCAGGGGATTTCTGGCTCCTATACTTTCTCGCCAGTGGAACAAGGAGGGTGGACCACTTTAAAGTTGTTCACACTCCAGTGCCAAATATGGGCAACATCTCTGCCCTGTCCCGTGACCTGCCCCTTCATTATGACACAATCATTCTATCTCTGTCCCCATCTCCACTGTCATTGCCCTACTTCAGCTGTCATCCCCAGTCACTAGAATTACCCCCAGCTAGTCCCTCCTCCATTATCACTGGAAGCCAGAGTGACACCATGCATTCTCCATTCAAATGGTCAAGTGCTCTATGTCCTACAGAATCAATTCCAAGCAAGCTCCATGCACTGGGTGCTCGAGACTCCTGGGAGGTCCCAAGTGACCTCCCAGTTGTATGCACTGGTCCCAAGTGATCTCCCAGTTGTATCCGCCTCCCCTCAAACCTCCGACCCGCCCCTACAGCTGCTAGGACCCAGGGTTGTCTGTGCCTGGTTCGACCTTTCCGCCTGTCCTCTGCCCTCAGCCCCCATTTCACGCATTCTCCGAGGACCAGGTCAAATGTGCCTCCCACCCAGGAAGCTTTCCCTGGTTCTCCAATTATTACTCTTCTTCTCCCTTCCCAGATTATAAATTCCTGGAGCTCAAAGACCCAATTTTGTCACCATCATGGCCACCGCAGCACTGCACATGGTATCTGGGCATGTGGTGAGTGCTCCGCCTGTATGGAATCGCAGTGACCACAGACTTGCCTACTGTTGGTATTCATGTTCAATAGAGTTGGTGATTCTAGCACCTAGACTGGTTATAACATCTTACATCTGGCAAACACTTTATGGTTTGTTTCTAAAATGCTATTTCTTGATATTCTTTCAGTGATGTTTGGAAATAAACAATTAGTCTTCCAATGATTGGTCCGATCCAGAAACTGAGGCCCAGAAAGGCCCTGCAGCAAATTAGTAGATAAGTTCCGGGCTCCTTCCTGACCACCTCACAACCAGCCAACCTTGGTGGTGAGAGCCCAGTCCACCACACTCACCTGGTTTGCAGGGGATGGGCTGAATGGGCAAAGCCAGCTGAGAGTCAGGGGTGACAGGCAGAGGCTGGTGACTTGGGGGGAAGGCTGGGATCATGACATAAGGCATGTTGACCTGCTGAAGGCAAGAAACCCTGTGTCAGTGAGTCCTCAAGGGCCCCAAGAGCTACCGAGCTATGGTCATCCCAGGATACAGAATGGACCCACTGAGGCGTAGAGGGTAAGGAACAGGGACAGTCTTCAAAAGGGTCCATGCCACTTCTAGGAGCCCCATGTCTACCTGCCCTGGATTCCTAAGTGGAGAGGAAGATACTCTGGAGGTGTTCCTTAAAACAGAAAGACTGAGGAGGAGGTTCCAGCAGAAACCAGATCCCACTCCTTAGGATCATGCCGTGTGATCCTCCTCTAGTGACTCTAGCTTTAACTCACATTGTGTTCCCACCCTCTGCCCCGCACCTGTGTAGGCTGCTGTCAACCGCTAGCCCTGTTGCTCTTACCAGCTCGCCTCTCTCTTTACCTGTATCTGCTGCTGAAGGAGGTTGATCTTATGCTGCTGCTGGATTAGCTGCTGCTGCTGCTTAGCAATCTGGTTGAGGGGAAAGAGTGGCCCAAGAGGCCATGGACATTAGGCCCTGGGTGCTCCAGACTCCTAGAGCTGCCTTCACCGGCGGTACCCAGCCCTGCCACACTGGGCCAAACCACTGAGAAGGTTGGAGAAAGCAGAATCTATCTTCCTTTTGTGGGGCGCTCACCCTTCCTTAGAGCACTAGGGACTGAGGTTAGACAGGAAGCCATCCGAGGCTTACTGCAGAGTCTCTTCAGCACCCCGCTCCCACCCCACCCCACTCCAGAGGCCTGTGACTTAGAGTTGGGAATCCTACAATCCCAGTCCACAGATTACAATGGCAAAGCTTACTCCCAGGATGCTCCTCTCTAGAGCCCAATGGAGTCCTTCCTGGAAGGATAGTCAGACACCAAGCTAGGTCTACCTGCTCCTGTTGCTGCCGGGCCAGCTCCATCTGCTGCTGCTGCTTCTCAAAGAGCATAGCAGCCATGTTCTTCTGCTCTGAATGGGCTGTCAGGAGCTGGTCCCGAAGGGTGGACAGTTGATGGATCATGACCAAAAGTTGGAGCTCCTTCTCTGCCAGGCTCTCCTGGGTCCCTGTTCCACAATGAAAAAGCCATGATTGAAGTCTCTCGTCTACCCATTCATCCATCCAACATTCATTTTGCAACTGCTATGTTCCAAGCCCCCAAGAGTAGCTGAGTGACAAAGATGAGTGAGATACCATCTCTGCTCAGAGGGGTTCCTCATAGTGTTATCCTGACACCTAGCGAGGCCTAGAAATTCCCCAGCATCAGGCACCAACTTTAGGCCCTGGAATTTCCAATGATGGGCCATCTCAGCACCAGAGCTGCCCCTCGAGATCCCAGCCTCGAGTGCAGTGCCACAAGGTCAGCATGGACAAGGGTGCTGGGGTCACGCAAAGGCCTTGGAGCAAGATAGACTTGGGTTCAAATTTCACTTCAGCTCATCCTGTCTATGAGCTGTCAGGCAAGTTATGAAACTTCTCCATAGCAGGTTTGGTTTATCTGTCAAAGACTCTAGTCAGAACCACTTCATGGGGCTGCTGTGAAGGGTAAGAGGTAAAAATGTATAGAAAGTTCTTAGCCCAGGGTCTGGGTTGTTGTTGTTGTTGTTATGTGCCATCGAGTCGGTTCCGACCCATAGCGACCCTGTATAGGGTTTCCGAGCAGGGTCTGGGTAGAGGGTTCTAAAACCAGTAAGTGTTAGTGCTTCTCTGCCCTCCAATTTAGCTAATTGTCTGATGCAATTATTTAATGCAATTGTTTATTCCTACAGCTTCAGGCTGTAGATCATTTGCATCAGAATCACTCAGGGAGTCTTTGAAAATTTCAGAAACCAGGCCCTCTTTCCCTGGGGAAGGCGGGGGTGGGCCTGGGCATCTGCACTTTTTTGAAGTTCCCTCTGCGGTTGTGACGAACACACATTGGAAAAATTGTTGCTCTAATGAACCCAATCAACAGCCTTTTAATAACCACTTCTCATTCACTTACTGAGACCCTGGTGGCCTGCATGATTCGTGGTGAAAGGGAACTTCAGGCTCTTCTGGAAGTTAGGCCAGGGAATGGCAACAACATACTCAGGGTCATAGGGTCTGGTAAGAGCCTGAAGCCTTTATGGGATTTAATTCCCACCAGGCCACTCTTTGTTTTTAACTTTTAATTGTGAATTGAGTGAAGGTTTACAGAGCAGATCATCAGTTTTGCATTCAACAAATCATACACATCGTTTCATCTCAATGGTTGCAGTCCCCTCCCTGAAACATCACATACTCCACTTCTTCCTTGTGGTTCACGGTCCTGTTCCTCCTTCTTTCCCCACCAGGTCCCTCTAGAAGAAGAATGAGCCAAACCTAATGCTCAGGGACCCAGGTAAAGAATGATGGTGACCTCTGACAAAACCAATGCTATTCTCCTGGAATCCAGATTTCTGAGTTCAAAGGGTTGGGGTGGCCCACCCAGGCCATTTACCCTTAGGTGTCCTGTTGAACCTTGAGACTTTAAGGCACTATTTTCCTAAGGCCCCTTAAAGTTAAACAACAGTAAGCAGTTAAGCAGAGGTTTGTTTTGCGTTAGAGATTGGGCTCTTCTGGAACAATCTCTGTGCAGAACGTTTTGAGAAGCAGGAGTCCCCAAGTTCTGAATGGAAAATATATGACAGGTCTTTAGTGACTATTTGTCCATTGACCTGGAACCCTGTGTGTTGATATTATCTCCTGAGAAAATAACAAACTTATAGAGTAGGCCTTCACTGTCTCCGTTTTGGCTTGCCTGCCCCAAACATTTGGATTGACACTATCTGACTCCAATCGTATCTACTCCCAATAAATATACTCTAATTTTTGGTGTTTCTCTATGCATTTTGGAGTGGCGCTGTAGGATCAGCACTGGACTGCTAACCATAAGGTTAGGGGTTCAAACCCACCAGCTGCTCCTGGGAAACCCTATTCAAGTAGCTATGTGTGGGAACCGACTCAATGGCACTTAACAATGGTAGGGCTAGGCAGGTCTCAGAGTGACACAGGCCAGGCACAAGGGCACCATGAATCTCCTACTAAGATGTACTAGCCAGAGCTGTAGACCTCAGGCCAGGCTGACAGCAGTGAAAAGGGAACTCAAAACTGTCTCCCTGCCCACCCATGCACGTCTTCACCTTTGACATCTTTGGTCTCCATAGAACTCCTTCCCAGAAACCGTTCCTTCCAGTCACTGGACAGCAGTTTCTCAATGGCTGGCACAACTAGAAGACAGTGGAACTATCAGGAGCGATGATCCCAGCATCTCCGTGCCCAGGTCCCTGTCTCTCTGGGACAGACGTCTTACCTTCTTTCAAATTTCGGTTGAAGTCCAATTTCTCCTGGCTTCCAGAAGCAGCCTCAGTGGCTCCTGGTCTCTTGGGTTCTGGGGACCCATTGCTCTCAGGAGAGCTACAGTCCTGCAAGACACCCTGAATTGTCACTCTCACCCCCAAGAAAAGAGGGAAACAGACTACAGGAGGGGTTAAGCCATGCCAGAGATGTCTGCCCTAGGGAATCCCAGATTCTGCTTCTGCTGCTCCACCAAGGCAGGGCTGCCCTCCCCCAGTTTCCCAGTGACCTTACTTGAAATAGTGAAAAGAACAAAAGATTTCTTAAACAAAAGACCTGGGTTTCCATCTGGGATGGGTGACTCATAAACTGCTTGATCCCACATGACTCTCTGAACTGCACTGAACCTGACTCTCCTCTTCTGAAAATGGAAATATTCTATCTCCCCTGTCATAGAACTGTTGACGATGTTAATGGATGTGGATGGGTTTGGTCACTGCAGTCACCGGCCAAAAGCCAGTGAGTAACCATGGCCCTTGTAGCCAGGTTGATTCTTCACAGGGCCCCCACCGGCCCACCTTCTTTAAGAAGCCCTCTCCCCTGCACTCTTCTCATCTAAGTACCTTTCCGTCCTCCCAGGTCCAGGAAGTCTTCCTTGACCACTGTCCCTCCTACTCCCTACTCCACCCTGCTGAATCCCTCAGAGCCCTGAAACCCTCCTGACTGCCACTTAGCAGGGGGCTTCAAAGAGTTCACAGGAAAATGCCATGATCTTTTCATTCCATTTTTTTCACAAACTTTTTGAAGCCCCTTCATATCTGCCTTTTAATTATATATTCCCTTTTTATGCCTTCTGCATGAAATCGTAGAATTCTTAAGATCTTACTGATCTTACAGTTCAACTTCCTCTTTTTAAGGGTGAGGAACTGTATAATTTTTAACAGTGATTTAACTCTTGCTTGGGTAGTTGAGACTGATTTTTTTTCAAATCATAGGAAAAAGCCAGTGTTCACTCTGTAGGAGACGCACTGGACTGCTAACCAGCAGGTCAACAGTTCAAACCCACCCAGGCGCTCCTCAGAAACCCTATATAGGATCCCTATGAGTTGGAACTGACACAACGGCACTTAACAACAGGAACATCTCAGCCCCCAACTAGCCTTGGAAGTTCCTCAGTGCTGGGCATAGTGTTATCTATCAGCACATAGTAGGTGAAAAGTAGGAGTCTCTGAGTGAGACAAATGGTTAAGAATCTCTCAGCTGCTAGCCAAAAGGTTGAAGGTTTGAATCTAGATGCACCTTGGAAGAAACTCCACGTGATCTATTTCTCAAAAAAAAGTAGCCATTGAAAACCCTATGGGGCATCGTTCTATTCTGACACACACCTGGCGTCATCATGAGTTGGACTTGGCATCAACTGATTTGGTTTGATTTGAAGTGAGCAGTTATCAGGTGAGTAATCACAGGAATGAGCTGGTGCCCTGCTTTCCAGCCTCAGACTCTATTCATTAACAGCCCCTCCCCAGTCACCCAAGCAGCCTCCTGTCCCTACAATGACCTTGTCTGCCTGCACCTATTGATTGCCCAGCTAAGGAAAGGTGCCTGCCTCCGCCAAGCAGGAGTCAAGTCTGGTTAATGGTGTGAAGCAGGGATGGGAGTGCCAACTCAGGAACCTTGAATAGTGCTAGGCACCTGGGTTGGAGCTGGGGGATCAGTGCCATCTTGGGGGGCCTGGGCCGGGTCTCCAGGCTGGGGTTCCGCTGCAGCGGCCGACCCCTGGGGAGGCTCGTGGCAAGTCTCTTTCTTCTCCTCCGACTTGATGGTACAGTTCACCATGGTGCCAACACCATCCAGGGCCAGCTTGGCAGAGATGGGGCTCCTCATGGACATCCTGAGGAGGGAGGGGCAGGATGAGGCAAGGAGAGAGTTGCCTGGCCCCACGGGAACGTCCACCTGAGGCAGTGAGTCCACCTTTGTTCCCACCGACCCCCTCACCCCAGTTCTTCCTGCTGCCCCTTAAACAGACACAACTCATTCACACAAAATTTAAGCTTACATTTTTGGAACCCGCAGTGAAAATTCAGAAAAGGTATGCATGTCCCCCTTTTTTGAATTTCTATTTAAAATTTTTAAAGATTGGGCCCAACCTTTGTTACTACATGCCTGTTACAATGTTGGGACTAACGAGCTGATGAGTTCACCAAGGAAGTCAGGGAGTGAACCCAAGATTATATACACATACACACACACACGCGCACACACACACGCATGCATTGTTTAATGTCCACAGTATGTTCTGTGAAATAGGACATTATGTGATTTGGACGTTATGGGAACACCATAATATAGATCATATGGTGTTCGCACAACGTCCAAATCACATAACCTCTGAGGTCACGGCGGCGAGTGCTCTCTGCAGCTATGTTCTCCAAGTCTGTGCCCCTTCTCCACAGGCACAGGGCTCCCAGCTGAGAAGATGGACAGAGGAATGTTTGCTCCTGAGCCAGTGATACTGGCGCCCCTCCCACTTCAGATGTGTTACAGCAGCAGGGGCTGAAACCTGAGCTCAGAACAAGGGTTCCTGCTCTGAGGTAAAGAGACTTCCACCCTGGGACCTCCCCGACATCCACTTAGCCGACATCCACTTAGCCGGGGTCCCAAGTATGCACACCTTCAGGAAGCTTTGGGGAAGATGGTAGCCCTAGGGGACAATCAGGAGTCCCATCCTGTCCACCCCCCACCCCCAGTGTCAGTCTCTTAAGACCAGGTAGATGGAGCCCACCATCACCATGAAGCTCTGCTTCACCCACCTCCACCCCCAGCCCTGAGGTGTTTTCCCAACCCCAGCCAGAGCCAGAGGAGCAGCTATTGGATCTGGATCCCTAAGATGGTCAGGAAGAAACACCAGCTGGGCATATTCTGAGTTAGAACCTGAGAGGACGCTCCTGAGATGCAGTAGACCAGGAGGCAGAGGCGTTGAAGAATCTGCTGAGGGTCATTCCCCAGAGACTCAAAGGCAGGACCAGTATGGAACAGCTCACAGGTCAGCTACCAGGGGCTGGAACCTGTATACAGGCACATGATGCTTCTGCCCCAAGCAGGTCGAGCTGGACAGCTTTGAGGCCCCACAGAGCTCCAAGTGTGTCTCTGCTCCTTAGCAAGAGCATCCACACGGTGACCAGCACTGAAGCTGGTCCAGCTTCCTCCACTACATCCACATGGGTGAGCAAGAAGCTCTAGGCGTGTGACCAGGGTAGCCAGGCCCTCAGCCACAGCTCATACTTCACACATCCACAACGTCAAAAAGCCTTAAGAGTGTGGTGAGCATGGCCAGGCCTTCAGCCAGAGTGTCAACCCGGTGTGGCCCATGGTCCCACACAAGTGAGAAGCCATACACCTGCAGCCAGATGGCAAATCCTACACCTGGAGCTCCATGCTCCTTGTGCACCAGTATATCCATGCAGGCAAGAAAACCTACAGTGCTCCAAGTGGGGCAAGGCTTTCTGTGGCCACCCACCTCCTCCTACACTGTACGAGTCACTTGGGAGAGAAGCTCTTCATCTGCAGTGCTGGGGGCAAGGTTAGAGGTAATAGTTCATGCAGCAGAGGAGTAGGCATGGTAACCAGGCAGAGCCCATGAAGCACAAGAAGGGCTCCTGCCAGTCCACCGCCCTGTGAGGTCACCCAGCTCCACATGCCCAGTGTCCCCAATAAATCCTTTCTGGATGCAGTCAGTCATTCTCTGAAAAGATGTTATATATACAGCACATCCCTGTAAATATATATATATATATTTGATTCTTCTTATTCACAGTAGTCATGCTCTGTACAGTCCCCACAAACACTGAGCTACCTTTGTTATACCTCAGCTGGGAATGACTTGGAAAGTTCTACAAGGATAAATCTGAAAGTACTGTTATAAAATGATAGAAACCTTTATTAACCAAAAATATCAAAATGTGAAACACTTGTTTTTCAACATATCCTCTATCCAGGTCTATATATTCCTGAAGGCAGGGTTTCCAGCTCTCTAACACTTCCCAAAAGAAATCTATGCTCCTTGATTTGCACCATGTCAAAATGGCAGCTTTGGCATCCTGTAGAGACTCAAATCATGTTCTGAGAAAAGGAGTCTGAAGGGCAAGATCAGTGGATAGGATAGGGTTCCCCAAAAAATCTCACAGGACAGCCCTTAATACCCTTAAAGAATGAGCAGGTTTTCTGTCATGATGGAAAACCATTCACCAGCACAACTTTCTCACTGTGCAGCTTTCTATTTTCTTAAAACTTCTTCCTAATGATCACCCTGTGTCCTCTGAGAAAATCCACGACTATTAGTCTTTTGTTGTTGTTGAGTGCCATTGAGTCAGTTCCAACCCATAATGACCCTGTACAGGGTTTCCAAGGAGCAGCTGGTGAGCTTGAACCACCAACCCTTGTGATTCAAACCAACTTCGCAGTTCAAGGCATTAATCCATAGCACCACACCAGAACTCCTTTGATAACCACCTCCCACCAAAAAAAAGCCACCACAGCCTTCTGGACTACCCTTTGTATTTTAAATTGAACTGGTCCACAGATCTTCTCAGAAGCATGTTCTGATTGGACATTTTCTAAGGCACCTTAACGAGACAAATCCAAGTGTATTACTGAGAGAACTTGTCTGCAGCCTTCACAGAGACATGTTTAGACAGGTTTTGTTTGGAATAAATCTATGCATGTATGAACTAGAAGTCTAGTAGCAACATATTTCTACTAGAATAGAGGAATTTGTGTAAGTAGAATGTATAATGAAGGCCAGCTGCTTATGTGCGTCTCTATTGTGTGTTCTCCAAGTATCAACTACTCTGTACGTAGGAGCTCTGGTCACTGAGTCAGAGCCGTCTCCACAGCACATAACCACCACCACACCACCATCATCATGTGTATGTTTGGAGTCCTGGTGTGGGTTATTGCACTGGACTGCAAGGTCGGTGGCTCAAGCACATCAGCTGCTCTTCAGAAACCCTATACAGGGTTCACTCTAAGTCAGAACCAATTCGAAGGCACTAAACATGACGATCACATAACCTGAATTTCAATTTCTCTTGATTTGGGCCTTGGACAACAATGGGCTATAAGTAGTGGGCCAGTCTGTCTTAGTCCTCACTACTCCTGCCCCTACATCTCCAATGAGGAGCCCTGTGGTACAGTCATTAAACTGCTTGGCTGCTAACTAAAAGATGAGAAATTCAAATCCGCTAGACCAGTCAAAGAAGGAAGACGTGGTAATCTGCTTCTTAAAAAACATGCCGCCATGCTAACCCTGTAAGTCAATTCTACTCTGTCCTATATTAGGGTCACTGTGAGTCAGAACTAACTTAAAACCAACAAGTTAGATCTCCAAGTATCAACTACTCTGTATTATACACTGTTATGGATTGTGTTCCCCAAAAGATCAGCAGGAGTCTGGTGTGGTGCTGTAGGATAAGTACTTGACCTCAAGGTAGGCTTGAACTGCAAAGCTGCTGAACAATAGATCAGCACTGAACTGCTAACCACAAAGTTGGTGGTTCAAATCCACTAGCCTTAGAAACCCTCTACAGGGTCATTATGAATCTGAACTGACTAGACATCACATAACAACAAAAAAGAGATGAAATTCTAACCCCAGAACCTGGGAATGTGAACAGGTTAAGAAGTAACTTTCTTTTGTTATGTTGATTGTGACCTGCCAGAATAGGGTGGGCCCTATACCTAAGCCTTTCTGAATGTAACGGAAGAGGAACCATCATCTACAAGACAAAGAATGCCAAGAAGGACCGCCCAGGCTGCCAAAGCTGAAAAGGAACTTCCCCTGGAGTTGATGCCCTAGTTCTGGCTTCCAGCCTGAGAACAGCCCTGCTGGCATCCTGAATTCCAGCTCCCAGTCCTTGTGGTTCCCAGTGCTGACCCTACAGCGCCACACCAGGCGAGTCATATATCTATTGTTGTATCAATTCTGCACAGCTTAATGCTGCTTATAAGACGTATAAATAAAAATATGCAATGCCACAGTGCCGTGTATAATCAAGTCTATGTACATTATATTTAAACTAAAAAGCAGCAGACTTGAATGAGATCTATGTGTTAACTTCTTTGGTTCTACCCTACAGATCAGACCAAAATTAAACTTTCCTTCCCACCCACTTTCAAATTGTTGTTGTTATGTGCAGTCTAGTCCGTTCCAACCCTATACAGGGTTTCCAAGGCTGTAAATCTTCACGGGAGCTGAAAGCCTCATCTTTCTCCTGCAGAACAGCTAGTAGTTTCAAACTGCTGACCTTGCGGTTCGCAGCCCGATTCGTAACCACTACGCTACCAGAGCTCCTTATAGATATATAAATATATATATTACGGGAGTACTGGTGCGGTGCTGTGGGTTAACATACTGGACTGCAAGGTCAGTTAGAACTGCAAGGTCGGCAGTTCAAGCTCACCAGTTGCTCCTTGGAAACCAATACAGGGTTGTTATGTGTTGGAATCAACTTGTTGGCACTTAACAACAAACAACAACATATTATAACAACATGAAACACAAGATCGGCAGTTCAAACTCACCATCCGCTCCTCAGAAGCCCTATACAGGGTTGCTATGATTCAGACCTATTGGACAGCACTTAACAATTAGCAAACTAATGGGAACGCTGTGGCTCTAGAGAATAAGCACCAGACTAGGAACCACAAGGTCAGCTGTTAGAACCTACCAGCCATTATACGAGAGAAAGATAAGGTGGCTTTCTGCTCTGGAAAACATTTACAGCCTCAGAAACCCTATATAGGGTATGAGTCAGAACTGACTTGAGGGCACTTAGCAACAACAAATGAAGGCATATCCTTATGCTGGGCTGTTTTCTAGGAGCTCTGGTGGC